GGCTCCTGAAAGCTGGCACCTGTGCGGCGGTACAAGGAGTGGATCTGCAGGTAGAGAAGACACGCTGAACGGCTGACAGCAACGGCTGACAGTGCCACCTCAATGGGGCACTGTTCTCCCCATTCACTCGCCTGCTGTCCCAGCGTCTCCTTCCAGGCTCCCACCCTGACTCCTAACACACACACACCCAGGGTCCACTAGCAGAGGAACCAACCCACCCGGCCTGCCCCTGCTCCTCTTGAATGCCCCACTCAGGCCCAGAGCCCCAATCTCACCCTCCTAGCCCAGCCCTGCACACGCCCCTCACCCGCTTTAGCATCACGATCCCCAACACCGCGATGCCAGTGAAGAGCAGGGCGACCAGCAGCATGAGCACAGCCACCGCCGTGTTCAACTGCAGCACCATGAGCGCGGAGATCCAGCCACTGTGGAGAGCGAGGCGTGCGCCAGTGAGGAGGGGCTGCTCCTGCCGCCTCCACCCCCGGCTTCCCCACTGGTTAAGTCTCACACACGCGCCAGGCCCGCCCTTGCCCTCAGCAGTTCCTCCCCATCAGTCTGGCAGCACTTGGACAGATGTACAGAATCCCAGACTATGACCAGTCTCTTCAGAGTTCAACTCGTTTCAGAATCAGTAACTCCTGGCTCTTCAAGCTCTTGCCAGTGTCTTCACTCCAAACAGACCCTTCTCTGTTGAGAACTCTCCCACCTCTCTTCAACCATGGTTACATATGCCTCCTCCAGAAAGCCTTCCCAGATTTGACCACATTCAGCCTTTCTCCCCTCAACCTCTGCCTGTCTAGAGTTCCATCTGGGTTCTCTCTATCCGGGAAATACACCCCGTCTTCCTTGCTAAACCAGTATCCCCAAACAACTCACATCCCAGTACCCAGTGCTGGCTTGGTCTAGAGGATTGCGAGGCTAGATGGCAACCTTACAGACCTGAACCCCCAATTTGGGATGCCGATGGCCTGGAGGACATAAAGCACATCTTGGACAAAGAAAATGAAGAAGAAAACAAAGAAATTGAAAGAACTGTCGCTCCTGCAGAGAGAAAAGAAACAGGGAAGTGGGGAGGACAATTAGGGCTAAAGAAGCAGACGCAGGGCCTGTCCCTGGTCCCACGTCACCCCACGCCCACACACACGTTCTTACCGGAAGGCCTTATACATGGGGCGGTACCAGCAGACGAAGGAGCAGGGAGTGAAGAGGAGAACCCAGAGGATGGAAAGCCCGAAGCTTGAGCCATTGTTGTTCGCCACACAGAAGCTGGCCAGGCAGGCGAGGAAGTTCAAGAGCAGAGCTAGCGTGCTGCCTGAGGGACAGAGGGACAGGATGACAAGGCCTTCTGGTTTGCAGTGACAGTGCCTTCCCATGTACGCCCACTTAATGTGGCAGGGTAAGGAAAGGCAGGCAGCACCTGCCTTTTCCAAACCCTCAACACCAACAGGAGAGACAGACCAAGCAGATTTCAATCACGTGTGGTCACTCTACAAAGACAGTTAAGAATGCGGGATAATGTAGGCATGAAGCCAAGGGAAAGGTAGGGGGCAAGAACACACGTTGGCGAGCAAAGTTGGTAAGTTCTAAGTACTACAAAAAGAAGAGAGCCTGGGATTCCCACATGGTCAACTGCGATTCAAGTCCTGGACCTAATGGCTTTCTTTCTTTTTTTGAGAGGTTTTTGCTATAGGGCGCGTGTGCTGCCCAGAAAGACAGAGAGAAGGCGAGAAATCACCCCCCAGGAGGGATGGCCAGGCTGCAATCCCTTCTCCTCCATTCTCCTCTTGGGATCTTGGGCATGCACACACACGCGCCTGGCGTGAATTAAAGCCTCCGGGTCTGGGACTCGAACCGTGGTCACCTATGTGGGAGTCCGGCGACACAGCCATTAACGCCTCCGGGTCTGGGACTCGAACCGTGGTCGCCTATGTGGGAGTCCGGCGACACAGCCATTACGCCAACTGCTGGTCCCAGTGGCTTGCTTTCTTGATTTCCCTTTCTCTCTCTGGTCAAATTAGGAGAATAATAATAACATATGGAATTGATTTTTTTTTTTTAAAGAGTGTGGGCAGATTTCTGGAGAAACTGGCCTTTGTGCAAACGCTGCAGAGGCACTGTGCCTGGTCCTAGGGGAGTGGGCTACAGGGCAGGTAAGAGATCTACCTGTAACCTCCTCCAAAGGCTTTTCCCTACTCACACATCCAGAGGTAGTACATGGTGGATACCGTCTTCTGAAATTCTTGGGGGATCTCCATGGAGATGTCCTGGAAAAAGCAGGGCTGAACTGGGCTAAAAGAAGGCAGGGGGGGCCAATTGTTCCGTCGAGCTGTAAGGCAGAGCGAGCAAGAGGAGCCCAGGAGTAAGGCAGATGCCCACGAAGGCATCACTCTCCCTCCCCACCATCTCCACGTTGCCTTCTCTTCTGTCTTCAGAGTCCAAGGAGATAAGGAAAAATGGAAAAAATAATAGTAATACCAAGTATTTACTATAATTTACAACATCTAAATGCTGTGCCAAGCACTTTACATATATTACTTTTTAAATCCTCCCCAAATCCTGCCAGACAGATAACAAACATTATTTTCTTTTTGCAAATAAAGAAACTAGGGCACTCGGAATTCAGGAACTTGTTTCAGAACTCTCTCTAAAATTCAAACTCAGCAGTCTGACTCCAGAGCCCAAGCTCTTCAGACCTGCCTTTGCTTCTTCCAAGCTGTCAGATGCCCTCCCCACCCTACCAAGGACCCACTTACTAGCTGTGCCCCCCAGGGCAGCATGCTGGAGCTCTCGCTCCCTACGGTCCAACTCCTCTGCTTTCCGGTTGAGCTCCTCCTGTTTCTTCAGCAATTCAGCTGTGGCTGCTGCAGCTGAGGCCTGCCCAGTATGAGCAGAGGGAGACGTGAGTCTTTGAGCCCAGGACTGGCCCCTTCCCCAGCTCCCACCTGCACTCTGCCTTTACCTGTGTGCTGTAGGAACCATAGTTCTTGGGTTCTGTGGGGCTGAGCTTTCTCGAGGGCTGCAAGGAAGGAGCTGAGGGTGGAGGCAACGGGGCAGGGACAGGAGGCTCATGGGCCGGTGGTGGCTGTTGGGGAAAAGACTTTAGGGATCACCTAGTCCTTCATAACACAGGAACCTAGAGTCTGCTTGAATACCTTTACACCTAGAACTCAATACCTAAGGAAGCAGCCCCCCCCCCCCGGGTCCCCCCCCCCCCCCCCCCCGGGCTGCTTGAAGCTAATTCCTGTGTCGGTTTATTTCAGAGAACTCTTTGGTGACCCGCAGTAGCCTTCACCCCCCACCCACATCACACTCCTTAGCAAGGACTCAAAGCACTCATCTATCGTGAGTACCCCCTTAACTTCCTAAAGCTCCCCATTTTCTATCCCAGTGGGACAAAAAGACCTAGCCTCCCTCCCTTTTGCCTTCTAACTGCACTCTAAACCACCTTGTCTTCTCAACTCCAACCAGCCCCATCCTTACTTTCATTCAGGAAACCTTCCCAGACAGAACTTTGGTTCAGGCCCTGCAGATCCCAGGTCGTCCCAGGGCTAACTTTTACAGCCCAATCCTCATGGATAGTTGGCCCTGGTGTCCCTAGTAAAATGACGCACTCCAGCGCAGACCAGTCTCTCTGGGAGAGCTAAGACAATGCCGCTTACTTCCTCTGAGTGCAGAAAAGTCCCCTTTACCCAGACAGGCCGGGCTTACTGACATTCATCCCTCCCCATCTCCGCCAGCTGCTCACCTCCCGGGTCTCAAAAGGGTTGTAGACGTCGAGCGTGGCATACTGCGAGCTGGGTCGGTGCTGGATCACGGCGGGGTCCTGAGGGGGAAGACCTTGGGCTCAGCTAGGGCCCCCTGGGCGAATTTCAGGGACATGTCTTAAACTGCCCACAGCTCCCAATACAGCATCTTCGGGACCGCGTTCTAGTCCCCAAAACATCTACCTCAAATCCATCACCCACTGCCAGTACCAGCTCTTTACAGGGGGCGGGACCCGCCCCCAGGATACTGACTGGCCTGAAGTCATCGTCACCCCCACGTGGCGACCCTTCTTCGTATCAAATGTCAAGAGTGGGAATACAAGTTAGCCCGACCCTACAACCCCGGGAAGAATCAACCCGAAGGCCGCCGACGCGTCACCTGAAAGGGGTTGTCCAGCTCGCCGGGCTCCGCGAACGGGTTTCCACCATCTCTGCTCTGAGCCATGTTTGCAACTGCAGCTTCAGTCGCCCCCTGCCCTCCACGCCCCTGCCGCGGCAGTGGCGGCGGCGGTGGCGCTCAGCGCTCCCTCCGCTCCTCTCGGTCGGCCCCGCTTCTCTGTGCACCGATTGGCTGAACCGACCGGAAGAGCCGTAGGATCCCGCAGCAACAGCCGGCTGCGCCTGCGTCTTGGCTAAAAGCAAAGACGGGAGTCTCCCACGTGACAAGTCTAACCCAGTCAGGGTCGCCAAGGACCACCCTTCTCACGTGACTCCCCCACTTAGGAACTACACTTCCCGGCAGGGCACGCGCCAGAATCCCGGTCTTCCTGATACCCCGAGGTGTACGACGGGAGCCTTTGACCGGTCCTGGCAGCCTATCAAGCTTCCAGTTAAGTAAGTTTTCTTCCGTGGCTTCCGGCCCAAACCAGGGACCTCTGCCTAGTGGCTATAGGAGCCAGCCTCCAACCTAGCTCTCGTTATTCCTGAGCAGATCGGTGCCACCTTCTAACTCCTCCATTCTAACCCGCAAGAGATGCTGTCCCACCCAGCACTTCCCATCCCTGAGACAATGTGGGCACAGAAATCAAAGTGGACCCTGACTCTGGTTCATTTTGGAGGGCAAGTGGGACTCCCTTCACACCCAAATTCAGGGATGAGCAATCATTTCATCCCTGGACCCTGTCATTCCCCAACCCCAAACTGCAGGGATGGGGTGGGGGGTCAGATGAAGCACGTCATTTTATTTCACAAAGACTGTACAAAATTCTTTATAAAACATGGTGTAGATGCCACCTGGTTACCTCACTCTGCCCCCACCCAACCCCATGTGAGGGTACAGGTGAGGGTGGGAAGAGTGTGGATGGAATAGCATTATGTACAAAGCAGGGGTTGAAGTGATAGGTACAAGTTCTATTTACACTATTTCACATATTCACAGGTGTACAGGGAGCCAGGAGGAAGGAGTGAGTTCCGGCTCTGTTCTCTTGTATAAAAAAGCACCAGTGTCCTGGACTGGACACCCTCTGCTATACCAGAAGCAGGGGGGCCCAGGGCCTGATCGTCACCGACTGATATCCCGACTGGAGTCCCATAACTTGGTATTGGGTGGCTCAGCCCGAAGGCGAGTGAAGAAAGGATGCTGCAGGGCTTCACCCAACGTCAGCCGCTTAGCGGGTTCATACTCCAGCATGCTTTCAATCAGATCGAAGAGCTGGTGGTGTTCCTCTGCCTCTGAGGTCAGATACCGCTGGTGGAGGGGGCAGGACAAAGGTGAGGCAGGACGCCTTATAGACCCTGCCTCCTCCTTCAAGGCCCTGCCTTTCAATCTTGGAGAACCGAGGCTCTGCTCACAAGCAATTCAAACACTACCTTACCACAACCACACCGTGACCAACATTTCTGAAGTTACAGCTCAACCTACCTTCCCACTAGCAGTTACTCCTTCATACTCTGAAAGTTCTCTCTACTTGTATATCCTTGTCAACTCCATGAATCTTCTTTAGCTCATTAAAATATAAGCTCTTCAATAGTAGTTTATTCTTTTCTGTCTGACCTAAAGAATCCAGGACAGTGCTTTGTTCTCTGGTTGTCTCAAGGTTAGGCTATGTAACTTCCTCCACAAAATCACTCCCTCTTCTCTCTCTATGGACCGAGGGTGTCTTCCTTGGGCTTTCCTCCCCTCCTTTCCTAGCCCTCTGTGCTTGTGCAAGGCACTGCAGAGGCAAACCACCTGAAGGAGGAAGTGACCCTGGAGTGGTGGGCACTCGCTACCCCAGCCTGGCTCACCCGCAGTGGTTTGCAGTTCTCACGAACGTAGCGCCCAGCTGACGTGTTCTCATCCCAATCCAGGCGACCCCGGTAAAAATATTTCTGCTTTCTAGAGGGGAAGGGGAGGTTGAGGCATCAGAAGGTTCCCCTTTAGCATAAATTTAGCATCAATTCCCTTCTTTCCCCATCTGAGAACAACTAGGGGGCGGGAAGTGTTCAAAAAAATAAAAAGGGAAATCATGTGAGAGAGCAGTTCTGTGGAGAGAAAAGGAAAAGGGTTAATTCCCTCTCACTCAAGGCTCACCTTGTCTTTCGGATCATCCGGGAGGGGATAGGACCCAAAATCCTTTCCATCATGGCTAGATGCTCTCTGTTGTCATGGGTCTGAGAAACAAAGAGAGAACTGAGCGCGAGACTGAGAAGGGGCTGCTGAGGACGCGCCGCTAGGAAAATGGGCACTGAGGGTGAGCAGGCAGGTCCTCAGCAGAGAGCAAAGGCATCAGGGAGAACGCTGGTGGTCAGGCAAGACCCCACATACCTGGAAGAGGGTGAAGCCGACATAATACTCAAAGATGATACAGCCTATGCTCCAAACGTCACAAGGCTGAGACCAGCCCAACTCTGGGTGCAATGGGAGAGAAAGGTATTATGAGGCCTGGGGGCCCTTCCTCATGACCAGGTCACCTAACGCGCCGGGATGACTGTGCCCTCCCTTACCAAGGATGACCTCTGGGGCTCGGTAGTGGCGAGTGGAAACGATGGTGCTGTGGTGCTCATGGTCAAAGGTGGCGCTGCCGAAGTCCACCACCCGCACGGCTGTGCTCTTCACGCTACGCTCATCTCGCTTCTAGGAGCAAGGCAGGAAGAGGATGACTACTGCCCCTCAGCCTGAGATGCCACCGCTGCTCTCTAAGGTGCTTCTGAGCCACTCAAATGCAATTCCGACCTCCTGCCTTCCAGTCTTCCCCACACCCAGCAGGGATGTCAAGAGTGGGGAGGAAAATTAAGAAATGATTATATGGGGCCAGCTGGTGGCATGGTGGTTAAGGATACTGGAATCCCACATGGCCAGCCATAGTTTGAGTGGAGGACCTGGTGGCTTGCTTCTCACTTTCCCCCCCTCTCTCTCAAGTTAAAAAACATACATATAAAAATAAATGAAGTTAAATACAAGTAATCCTTTAAAAAAAAAAAAAAAAGATTATATATGCCCAAGTGATAGGTATACAGTTTTTCTGAAATAAATAAATAAATGAAGGTGCCGCAAGTGGCACAGTGGTTAAGGTTCTGGACTCCCACATAGCTAACCATGTTTCAATTCCTGGACCTGCTGGCGTGCTTTCTCACTTTCCCTCTCTCTCTCTCTGGTCAAATTAAAATTAATTAATTAATTAATTAATTAACTAAATAAGTATTTCTTTTAAAATTTAATAATAAATTAACATGTAACAAATGGGTCAAGGAAGAGAGAGCTGCTTTAGCTCTGAGATCGTATCCAGTCAGGCAAGGGAACTGAGCTGTCCTGCTGCACAGAAATTACATCTAAAAAAAAAAGAGAGAGGAAGCCCAAATCAACAAGTCTGAAGACATTCTCATCTACTGACAAGTTATCTGAGGTCATTTTCCAAGTACTCTTCTAATTTCTCCCCCCTCTTTTTTTTTTCAAGGTTTTGCCACAGGGCACATGCAGTTGTGGGAAACGGATGGAGAGAAAGTGAACTGTGGTCAGCCGTGTGGGAATCCAGCACCTTAACCATGTTACCTGCTGTCCTCCAAGTTAACCTTTCTAAGTCCCTCCCTTTCGACCCATTCTGGTATCTTGGCTTTACTCAGTGGGGACTGGACAAAGACAAAATGTGGGAGAAAGCAGCAAAAGGGAAGACAGAAGGAGCCTGTCCCCCAGGGCTGAGGGGCAGACCTCGTCTATCTTACCTTCTCTAGGTTGTAGGTAAGCTCGTAGTCTGAATTCACAAACAGAATATTTTCAGGCTTGAGGTCCGTATGTGTCAGTTTGTTATCATGGAGGACTGCAGGGGAAAAGACCAGGTCAGGCTTGGGCCAGGGGCTGGAGTAACTGGCACCGGCGGACCCCAGCTCGCTCACCTAGAGCAAAGCCGGTGAGGGGACAGGTCCAGAACCACTAGGGCTGCTTTCTGCTTGACATCTAAATGAAATGCCTGGTCTACGAAGCCCTACTCTTACTAATAAGATATAGCTGTAGCTCAACTGAAATTTTGGGAAAAAAAGACTGTTTGCTGTGAGCTGTAGTTTTCTAAGGACTTTGACACATGTTATACCTGAGCCTGGGAACACCAGCCTGTGAAACTGTATCTCTGTAAACCCAAGTCTGTGAAACAGTATCGTTGTGAGACTCAAGAGGAAACTAGGTACTTGTCTGGATTCCCTACTGGCCCTGAACTCCTCCATGTTCCCGTCTGCTTTTTGCCGTGGATGGAAAGCACCTCATCTCACACGAATCTCAACCTCTAGCCTAAGGAGTGTTTCTCTCTGTGCTTGCTGCCTGGCTGACACTCCCCAAGGAAGGGGAGGAAAAGAAGATGGAGGTCACTAAGCACTTTGGTTCCAAAGGCTTTCTCCTCCAGTCCTGCTAGGTCGGCCGTGGAGTAAAAGCAGTCGGGACCGTGAGGACCTCAGTCACGGACAAGTCAGGTGATGCCAAGATGTCAGTGAATAAAAGAACTGCAGCTGACAGAGCTGTTAGGGGCTTCACCAGTGCCCAGCTGAGACAGAAGCGCTCCAACAGAGGGAGGGGCTACCCCAGAGTCCACCGTGGCCCACCCCACTCACACTTGACGGCCTGGCACAGCTGGAAGGCCATGTGGCGCACTTGGTGGATGGGGTAGGGCAGGTAGTTGTTGTCTTTGAGGAAATCGAAGGTGCTAAGGCCCAGAAGCTCAAAGGAGATACACATGTGGCCATGGTAGTCAAACCAGTCAAACATCTGGACACAGAGGCTGGGAAGAGAGACGGGGGAGGGGGACGTCTGATGAGCTCCCACTTGCCCACCACCCCTCCAACAAGGAGGGACCATACAGCTGTTGATTCAACCCACTTGTATAAACATGCCAGCTAGAATTACCAAAAAATCCAGTACAGCTAGGGCATGGACTTTCTGACAGACCCAAGAAGAAAGGCACTACCTACCAAACTTCAAAACATCTTCCTAGAATATTTTAAACAGTTCAAAAACTTGTTTGCTTAAGAGCTGTTGAGTGCCAGGCTCCAAACAGTGTGGACTCTGAACGGGCAAACTATCGCTCCTAAAGCCCAGCCCAGCCCCAGCTCCTGCTCAATTCACTCACCATCGGCCACCACTGGGCTCGTGTTTGTGCCTACTGTTGCCTTGTGTCTTATTCTGCTTTTGGCCTGTGAATGTATGTGGACAAAGTCCTACTGTGTGAATGCCTAGGGCCTCAGCAGCACAGCTGCAGGTATAAAAGCCTACTCCATTTTCAGATGAAGACGTTGATGTTCAGTCCCAGGGCCATTTTCCGGCATAAATCTAGAGGCCATCCCGGGATGCAGAGCAATCTAACTGCCCCTCGCTTCCGACCCTGACATTCTACTACTCTAAGATGAGGAACAGAAGATGGATGGATGAGAAGGTCTAGGACTCCCCTGCTGCCTCGCCCAGGTCTGGGAGTCTGCTGGCAGGAGCGGAGCCTCTGTGCCTCCCCACGTCCTCCTCCTCCGGCTTACTTCTTGTTGTCAGGATCCTTCTCGTTGATCTTCTCCAGCACGTTGATCTCCAGCCTCGCCGCTTCCTTGTACTTCTCCACGTTCTTAATGATCTTCAGGGCAACCCGTGCCCCGCCCCTGTAGGTTGGCAAGAAAGGTTTTGCCAGGTTCTGGAAAACGCCTCAGATTAAATGGGGCTGTGTGAGGACTTGAGAATCCTGCCTTTGGCTAATCAGCAATGAAGCCCCAGACAACCAGACCATCCCCTTACGCCTAGCAAGTGTGGAGCGAGGAGGGGCCAAGACCTACCTGCGATGGTCGACACACTGAACAACTCGGCCGAAGGTCCCCTCTCCTAAGGTGCTTACAATTTCATCTGAAAAGAGAGCAGGGTCGGGGAAAGGGAGGGAGAGAAGATGGGGAATGAGCTGAGTTGGAAGAAAAAAGCCTACAGCAACCTGGGGTGAGGAGATGAAGGCAGAGAACAGGTACAGATGGTCACAGGGGAAGCAAACCCCTGTGTGATTCCCACCACCTTTAACCCAGGGGCCACGAGAGCTGGGAGTGGACAACACAGGTCAGTTCTCAACAGCAACTCAAACCACCCCGATAAACACCACCACTGAGAAAAGGCAAAAGAGGCCGTGATCTGGGTTGGCTCGGGACGGTAGGATGGCTATGGGACCATTACAGGCTATAGGATTGTTACGATTTGGCTTGTACATCGCTCTTGTAGCCAGTCCCCGACGTGGTAGATGAGGTGGCCCTCAGCGTCGTCCTCTACACTCTTGGCTCTCCGGCTGCTGTGCTGCTGTCGGGGGGCGGGGGGAGTCGGAGCAAGCCAGGTGTCGGAGCGGGGGCCGGAGGGAGGCGGGGTGGGTGGTTGAGGGGTCACCGGTCACAGGCGCCCAGCCAGGGGGGACAGACGATGATGGGGGACAGTGGAAGGGAACACGTCAGATGCAGTAAGGCGGATCGGTGTTGAGAAGAGAGAGCGGCGCACAACCCCAGGTCCCCAAACCCAAAACAGGAAGAGGGAGAGGCACGGGCAGGGCGGAGGAGTGCTGTCGTTGCCAGCGTGGCCCACGACCCCATGCTCTCCACGATGCCCTTTCAGCCGGGCACAGATTCCCCTCGCCCCCACCCAAGCCTGTCTGCTAAGGGGGCACAGAGCCCAGGGCTTGGAAAGAAAGGCGGTTCACAAACAGCGTCCCCACTAGAGTGGAGACCTCTGGGGCTGAAGAGCTGCTCCCAACACAGTAAGTCCATCATGCCAGGGCGGGCACTGGGGTGACAAATGCTCCATGCCCATCCATCTCCCAAGCACACTCCAGGGCCCTTCAAGAGCTGGAGAGCCTCCAAGAGGGTAGACAGACTCAGTGCCCACCTCAGAGTTCATGCCCCAGCACGCAGCTGAGAACAAGGAGACGGCTCACTTACCAGAGTCCGAGAGGCCTGAGCAAGGGGGAGAGGAAGGGCCTGGGCTGGCACTCACCGAAGACGAGCGACTGAACGTCCGGCTGTGCCCCCGCCGCCGCCTGTGCTTCCTGCGGCTGCTGCGCTGGCTGCGGTAACTGCTGTTCTCCCGGTGGTACTCGTAGGAATGTCGGTAGTCCGTGTCGTAGTAGGCCTCGCCCCTGTCCCGGCTGTAGTCGTTGCGCCTGTAGCTGCCACAGTATCGCCTATCATACACCCTCCGGTCTGATGAGCGGTCATCATAGCTGCTGTTGGACAACAAACACCATCAGGCCACACCGCGGAACAAGGTCCTGCCTCAATGAGAACAAAGAGCAACATGAGAGGGAGCGCTCTGATACTCAGCGAGCCGCCCGGAGCGGACCAAGGACCAGAGCAGTGAGGTGAGGAGGGGCCGAGGAGGATCTCCCCTGCGTGTCACCAGGACCTCCGACAAGGCCTCTGCAGAACCACTCCCTCTGGGGGCCTCCGCCTCCCCGCCAGTAAGAAAATGAAACAAAGAGCCATTTCTTTTTCTTTGAAAGTTTATTCGTTCCTTTCTTCCACAAGAGAGAGACAGGCACTCCCAACAAGGTCTTCCCGCTATGCCCGCCCCCAGTCCAGTGGGCCTGGTTCACTGCACCTTTGCTCCGACGGGTCAGTACTAGTTCAAGACCTCTGCCATGTAGATCCGGCTGGGATATACCACTGCCTAGCCTGGAGCCATTTCTTCCTCAAGCATTCCCAACTGAAACCGTCTTGCTCTAAACCATCCTTAACTCCTTTCTCCAACTGAACGAGTTGCTAAATTATTAAAGCTTGGGGCCAGAGGTGGTGTGGTGGTTAGAGCACTGGGCTCTCATATGGCCAACTGCAGTTTGAGTCCCAGATCTGGTGGCTTAGTTTCTCACTTTCCCTTTCTCTCTCTGGTCCAATTTTTTAAGAAAAATAAATAATATATAAAATTAGGATAAATAATTCTTTAAAAATAATTGAAGCTCCACTGACCTCCCTCTGTCCCATCTGTTAGCTCGTTAGCTACCTCTAGGTCAGTCCTTTGGCACAGGCTCTTCCTCTACAGGGTGACACTCCTCCAGCTTGACTCCTTGTTCCCTAGACACGCTTAGGTGTCAGCTTCTCTAAGGTTTCCCCGGAACTGCATCCTGCCCAACTACAACCAAGGCCCCTGCCCCTGGGCATGTCCTCAGCCCTTCAGCACGTTCTTCCTCTACGGGAAGTCTTAATACTGCAGTGCAAATGGCTCCTTTGGTTAATCAGCTCGACCACCACCTTCAGCCAGCTGCTCAGCACAATGCCCTTAGCATGTAGCCAAGCGGTTATGTGCTGAACAAATGAATGAGCGAGTCTGAGTTTCTCCTCCTGAGGCCTCACCTCCGGGAACGGACATGGTAACTGTCCTCCCGCCGGCGCCGGCGCGTCCGGTCACTGCTACTTGACCAGGAGCGACTTCTTCGCCGCTTATGCTTTCGACTCCGATAGTGTTCATGGTAACTTCCGCGGCTGCCTCGCTCTGACGAGCGGTACCTTCGAGGATGAGGCATCTGGAAGGGAAGGAAAGGT